TACGGGTCATTATCAATCAACATTATATCTAAAATTTATACAAGTGCAAATAATATACGGCTGTAAATTAAATTTTATTTTTTTACAGTGAATTCTCAATGCTCCATAACCAATTTTCATCAATTTAAAACATCATCCAGGAGTTTTGATGAGTATTTCTGATAATAATAATAATAATAATAAAAATAATAGAGGTTTCAGCGTTATTAGGCCGTAGGCCTGTCGCCGATTCTTAACATCGCAGAACATTCACAGCATTTTGCGGTCTCGAACTCGCACCTCACTGCTACAATTCTGCTGTGCTAAACCGCCCGGCCTCCTTGCCGATTCTGACCAGAAACTGGCGCACAGAGCTAGGATCGAACCCGCGCCTCTCTCCGCCAATCTTGGTACTCTGAACTTTAACCACTAGGCCACCCTGCCCTTTAACCACTAGGCCACCCTAATAAAAGATCTTAGAAAGAAAACACAAAGATACTAAGGACTACAGATACTAAAAAAAAAGAACCGTTCGTCAGAGGAAACAATATCAATAAACGTGGGCATTACTTATAAGGGCGAAAAGCATTTTTTATACAATCCCGTATTGTGTGATAGGACATAGATTTTTAACACAAGTTGCAGTATTCCTAAAAATGAACATTTATCATGGAAATAATCATAATTCAATATGAACCATTGTTGTGTCCACCACCTTATACCGATGCACTAAGCCGCGGACAGTATAATGCATTATATAGCGCGCGTCGTGGGCTCAGGTGGCTCGAGTTGATTGACTCCCGGTACGGAAAGGACGATTTTTGGCGGCGCATCCTAAATGATTGTGAACTGTGCCGTCCAGAACTCAGAATTCATCATAAGACTATATATCATGCCACATCAATCAGCGCAAATGCACACTATTTTTACGAATGTGCGCATACGAGCGTGAGTTCACTATTTGTATTCCCTATTCGTCATACTTTATATAAATCACACGTCTTTTACCACGTTTCCAATATAAATACTTAAAAACGTTTTATTAAAGCTGCTCTGTTTTCTCTTGACATCGACACGACCAGAGCGGCCTGAGCCTGACGCTGAACCTGCACGCGGCGAGCTACCTGTCGTTGCTGTCGCCCTGGTCGGGGCTGCGCGTGGTGCTGCATGAGCCTTGGCAGGCGCCCTTCCCGGCCGATGAAGGCTTCAACCTCGCCGCGGGACTGTCCCACTCCATCGCTGTAACCAAGGTGAAACAAGAGTGCTCAAAACGTGTCATGAAGGCAATTATGACAGTCGACGAAAATAAATCAGTGGATTGCTGGTAATGAAAAGCAAATGTAAGTACCTGTGGTTAATGTTTAGCACTGAAATGAAATTAGAAGTATTCTGGAAATATTAGCGATTCTATTTTTGAAGTGATTCAAGCACTGCAGAAGTCCTATCCATGGCGGCAAATAGTTCTAAACTTAAATTATTCATCGTGTTTTGAAAAAATTACACCCACAGACTGTGATGCAGCGCATAGGACCTCCATATGGAGAATGCTCCGACACCAATACCTTGATGTTCGACTACTCCGAAGCGGTAAACCTTCTTGCTGCTACCATAATTTGAGGGGAGCGTCTCGGTCAAAAATAGAAAATTTTGGCTTTTCCGTTTTTTTGACTCGTTTTGTAGCCGTTGAAAAGGCGTGTCTATGGCAGTACACCGCATGTATGTGCGTAATATAGTTTTTGCGTAAAGCAATTTCAAAAACGTATGAAATGAACGTTTTTTAACAATATGTTCATAGATATTTTAAAATTAAATCTGTTTTTATAGATCATTATTAATGTTGATTGCAAAGTGTTTGCACTCGTTTGAGAGCTACAAACAAGACGCGTTCAGCAAAGCTAATACCATGGATGTACATGCAATAATTTTTGCTTGAGGCAGTTTTTTGAACTTCTATAAAGGTACCATTTTTATAACAATATTTATAAATTTTCGTTTAAAAATGTATTTATAGATCATTATTTCCGTTAATTGCAAAGTGTTTGCACTCGTTTAAGAGCTTCAAACGATGCGCGTTCAAAAAAGCATATTTCGCGGATTTACATGTAATTTTTTTGCGTCAGGTCGTTTTGATTTTATATAAAATGAACATTTTTTATATAAGTATCACAAAAGTCACTTATATAGCTTATTACTCACGTTAAACTGGTCGTGAATAAATATAAATGTGCGTGCATTGCCCTGATTGGCAATGGGTAAGCTTGGGCCACACTATCGAGCAATTTTTCGGCTTATCCTCCTTTTTACATTAAATTTTACTTATTGACTCCCCTGAACAATTAAAATTTCCAAAATGCGCCATCTTAAAATCTATCTCCTCCTATGATATTCAAGCTACAGCATTGAGAGATATACCATTCGATTCGTAAAAAAAGATCTAGAGAATTGTTTTAGTTTTATGTAATTTCATTATAGTTTGGATTATACAATATATTATACAATATATGTATTTTGCAAAAAAGGGGAGGTGGGGCAAAAATCAAAAAACAGACGGAATATCCTCCACACCCACTAAAATTAGAATTTGGAAAAGCTAAGAAGAATCGCTGGATATAATTTTTACGAATCGAATGATATGTATCTCGATGTTGTAGCACGTTAATTGAATGAGGAGATTGATTTTGAAAAGACCCGATTTTTTCCGTTTTCTATGGATTTCAAGTTATCTGTAAATTTTTTTCGAAGCATTTACACGTATAAAAAGTCATATATTTCTATTTTACATATGTGTACTAAGTTTCAAAGTGATCCGTTCGTAAATGAAATTTTTTTGAGGGAGACGCTCCCCTTTATATCCTGCTGCACTGTGAAAAATAGTTGACCAGTAGATTGGCACTATGTGGCTGAAGTCTAACTCATATCCTTTAGAGTGATTTCGCCTAAAACTTTGCTCAGGGTAATGCTATGTGCAACAGTACCTCCAGCTAAAAAAACCTTATGCTGAATTTCTACGGATATTTCCTCCCCTTCCCGTAGCTGTGCAATAAGCTGTGCATTGAACGCGAGTTCCGGCGTCGGTGCAACTGCACAGTCAACGAGGGCCCCGCCTTCGACTCCCTCGGCGACGAAGACGAGTTCAAGGCCAAGAAATTCGGGAAGTGCGACTCCTTCGACCTCTATCAGGGTGAAAATGAGTATAATGCTACATTGAAATTTTCGATTTATCGATAGATGAGATTTTCCTAATCGTCGTGATCTAGCATGAACTAGTTATACATATAAGAACAACAAGAACTAGTACATATCGATTTCAGCAGACAGCCTTCTAGAGTCATTCACCATGAGGGTTATAACCCGGTCTGGCGTTTTCATTTTTTATTCTGTCCTCGAAATGCATACCCTTTGGTGCACATTCATTATGTAGTTCAGAGATATAGCTAAAAATTAAATGGCCTACGAGTTATTTATTATTTGTTCGTCGCCAGGTTTGTGTATGCAAGCTGTGACCTACATGGCAAACACCGACATATTCAACTGCATCTGTCCCCCCGCGTGCACGTGAGCAATTAACTTGATGTGATCACACACGAAAAAGTGTGTGCCGAACTCGCGTTGTCATCACGCGTATTCGTACCCTACATATTTTAATAATCAATTGGCAGCCTAGACCCGTGATTAATTTGTTCTCAGGGCTAGAACAGATTAGTCACATGGTATTATAATACAATGCATGTATTATTACATGCATAATAATAATACATGCATTTTTCCCCCACATAAAGCTGATAGTTGAGGATATTTTCACTCCAACAAATATGGTCATATATCTTAAAATCTAAGAGTTTTTGAACATTGGTTGATATGTTGGTTCATGCTCTTCGTTACATATTCCACATTTAAACACCAGGCTCGTCAAGCCTCCTAATTTAATAAATTTCTCATTTCATGGATTCGAATATGCTCACTGAAAACCATAAAAAATAAGCAATTGCTCAAAATTATGAAATTGAACCATAAAAATCAACCTCGGATTTGCTTTCGATCGATTTAAATGCATGAAGTACTCATCCGTTAGTACCTCAACACCTTACTCATCGGGCTCATCCACACTCATCCGTTAGGACCTCAAACCCTACTTATTGGCTCATCCACACTGCAACAGAATTATTCTCAGTTGAATACAACACAACTTACATACATCAAATATATCGAAAGTGTCGCAGATAAACAAAGCAAAATCTAAACTTAAACCCGTTATCCATCCTGGCCTGCAATTGAATCGCAACATTTTTCGAATGACAGATGATGACTGTGGAAGGATATGATATATGAAAGTACAAACCTATAATATTTCCGAACATGTATTTATGTTCAGGGCACTTAAAAATAATTTACACCCATATCAAAACAATAATTTTATCCCTCACAATACAAAAGCTACGACAGCACAGCGCCTACTTTACGACGCCAACACTTATTTGCAACAACACCCCACTTACACACATGCAATGGCAACATACATTGGCATCCAGAAATGTTATCAATTCAAACACCATAACGCACATTTATGCAACTCCTAAACACTATCCAGGTCTAAAACATCATACTCAACATATCCCTGAACTAATTATCATTAGCACCGGACACTCACGTTCTGCACATCGCCCATGCATAAAACAAACAAAGCTCTACAGGCAACGAACAAAACAAGTACTGAAACCTCAAATTGACACAAAAAAATGCGCAAAAATAACCAAACATGCAACAAAAATAATTGCAAAGCACGGTCCTTCGCGAACATATAAAACGCAAATTAAGATGTTAGCATATGTACATTCAGCTCGAACAGCAAGCATACCCGAAATTCACATTGCCAGTCAAAAGTCAGAAAAGAAAGCTTCGACTCCATTACTTGGAGCTGAAGCAAGAAATAGCTAACGTTCGATCCGTAACTTGCCTATAAAACAAACAAAAAATTCAATCAATATCAATGATCACTTGAATTTATCAATTGAGTGCCCGCCATGAACGCAATCTCTTCACTCACCATTGACAGGGAGGTGCGTTACTCAGCTCTCATATCGTCCACCGATGTCAACCCTGAGTTCCTCAAAGTCGTCCAGAACATCAAAAAGTTCCCAATGGGCGTGGACTTGTGTGGGTAAGTGATATGCACTTGATTGATTGTTTTCACTGAATGTTGAATGATCGTGTGGATAATTTCAATAGAATATTTTTTGGAATGCTGATCTTGTTATCAGATCTTTAAACAGATCTGATAACAGATTTTAGCAGAATATAAAATCATATAGTAAGCAATTTCTACTAAAATATGTGTTTCAAATCAAAATTGATCGAAAATAGATTGTAATTATTTATGAATATAAACCCTATTTTGCATCACAGTGATGCATACAATTGGAAGATAGTATAGAGACTTAAATATAATCACGACTATCCTCTCTGCACAGGGATTTAAATTCGACGGTTCGTCTTCAGATCTACCTTAATTGCGTCTTCCTCGTACGAAGAAATTGACGAGTCACCCGCGTATACTGTGCGTGGAACATGATCATATGAATTTGAAAGGCACATTTATGACGGAATGATCATGTATTTTTAAATGAATCAATGTCTAACTTTCATGTATCTCCATTTTCAAATACTTGTGAAATTATTCGCGAATTTAATTTACGCCGCATTACTAAGCAGCATTGTCCGAGCCCATTTTATATTGAACAACAGCATCCATACAATGAATTTGTAACTTTGGTATTCATTTCAATATTTTGATAGCGGTAAATTTATTGTTTGTAGCTAGTGGATGAATCATAACGTACAGTTGTTAACACCATGTGTAGATATAAAATCACCCGATTTCTAATAATTTTCGCAGTGACTCATGCTTAATTAAATCATTTGACAGTGGACAACTCTGATCTCAAACTTGGGCGGCAACTTGGGCTTCGTGGGCGTGTCGCTGATCACCTTCTTCGACGTGGTCTACTACTTATTCGACGTGTTCCTGATCCTGCTGTGGCCGCGCTGCTACGACGTCTCGGAGGGCGTCACCAAGTCCGTCGCTCCCGTCAAGAAAATTCCGAAGAAAATCATAATCTTGGCCGGTCCTCCGGAACAGCTGCCACACGGTATAGGAAAAGAGACACTGTCACCGAGAAACCATTTTTTACTTGAAATATGGATTGCTCTCGCAATTTTTACTCGAATTCACAATGACCTGTTATCGCTGGTGGCTGAATTCCTACTTTTTCGGAATGTTAGTGGGTATATTGACCAAATTTCAGATTTAGTGTTGTCAACGTTATTGAATCAGTCACTTGCCGACGAGCCGGGATGTTTTACTGACCATGCTCCAATACGAGGAAAAATAACTATACATAACTGTGGAGCCTTTCATTGAGTTTCATTGTGTTCTCAATATAATTGACACAGAAAATAACTCGATGATTAGGCGTAACTCAAACTGAAACTGAAACAGTGGATTCATTCTAATTTAATTTTTCCTGACTTAATTTGGTTGTTTTCTTTTCATCCGTATTTATAAGAAATCTGACACAATTTGAGAGGAAAGTTCACGAAGTCATTCTAACTATTCCAAAAAGTTATTGGCGCTGACATATATTCGATTATGGTGCATACTTTATTTGTTCATCGTGCGGCAAACCGGCATTAATTATTTCTCATCATTACGCTCTACCTACTTTATGCAAGCACCACCATATTTCAACTCTATTCATGTTCCATGCTCGCTTAGGAAACAGTCTCTCACATTCACAAAAACTTCAATTATACACCAGTCTTTTGGAATGGTTATTAATGTCATTGTTTCTCACAGGAAAGCCTGTCAAGAAGCGCCCGCTGAGGTCAAATGTCCGATGGTCTGAACGCTTCAACCAAGTCTTCATGAGCCAGTGAAAAATAGTCAAGTTTCCATTGCGTTACAAGTGTAAACGATTTTCATTTCAAAATATGCTCATTAAAAGTACATGTCAAATTGAATGGGACTTGTCTGTCGACAAATCCCTAAAATCAAACTATCTGCCTCAGGTCTCAAATAAAAAAATTGTTACCGTATCGATTTAACCTAATTATTGTTATTATTCTACGAAGCATTTATCGTGACGTCTGGTTCAAACAAACTTCGATGGTCACGTCACACATAAGATTAAATAGCAATCGAAAAATAAATAGACACAAAAAAGGATTGGAACGGCTAAAATGACTAAGCACTATATAGATTCATAGGCTCTACGAAATAGTTCCGTCTTTAGGCGTCGACGAAACGTCGACGTAATTAGCTTGCATAATTAAATAAATTAGCTAATACATTTTGGTTGAACATGCAGTGAAGGCTCTTTTTGGTCATTTGGCCGCTCAGGACGTCAATGACCAGCAATCTGCCATGCCAAGGAGCTTTCAGCCTCCACTTCATCGTTGCCGCTCAAATTGGTTGCCGCACTCGGATCTCCGCCAACTCTAAACCGAGGTTTCAGCTCAGCAGATATTGCGATTCACGCGTAAACTATCACAACACATTAATTTTTTTATTTATATGACGTTTTGAATGCCCATAGTCTAGATCGCGGCGTACATTAGATGAAACACCAACACGAAATCATGTGTTGAAAGAAGGTCTGAAACATCGCACACGGGGTTATCGTATGCTGCTTTAACTTGAAGCCGTTAGCTTTGGACAAAAAATTAATTGACTCAAACTGCTTTGATGCAACAACGCCCATGAATCCAACTAACACTATTTATAGATGGTTTATGCGAGTTAAGTATACACTTTATCCTATTACGAGTGATTTCATATAGATTTGCCTGAAGCCAGTTGGAATGTCGTTATTATATCTAGATGTGCTATTTTGTCTTGACAGTTGAAGTACTCTTTATCCAATTACGAGTGATTTTATAGATCTGCCAGAAAATGGTTGGAAGGTCGTTATTGTATCTATATGTGCTATTTTGTTTTGACAGCTGAATTACTGCCTATAAAGGCCCGTTCACACTAGGGGCAACATACGAGAATCAAGTGCCTCAAAGCGCATGCAGAGGCGCTTTGCAGCCTCTGCATGCGCTTCTTGACCGATTGACGAGCTAGCGATTGACAGGGGCCCTGCCTCATGCAACACAAGCGCGGCGCTTAGTAGATAGCTATTAAATAAAATCGAAATGCAAATGATGTAAGTTATTTCTACATGACGTGTTTAGTTTATGTGATTTTAGCAACTCCTGACAATTTATGCATTACCGTTTAGCGATTTCAAAGGATGATATAATATCGGTAAGAATATTGGAACTTTTTATTTAAGAATAGACTATTTTTTTTCTAAACTGTATCTTTTTGAATGTGCTAGTTCTCTAATTATGATGCCTTTGCTAAATTCTCGTTTACAACTGGCATACGGCGAAGAATGACGGACCACAGCACACCCGAGAACAATGGCCCACAGCTCAAATTCGGTAACATCCATCCTCATTGACGTCTAGGTGGCAACTGGAGTTCAAAGCGCGCGCGCCCCCGCCGCGCGGTCTCAAACTACCGAGTACAAAAGTAGTGGGAACAGTTGTGCGCGGTGAGGCACTACAGCAAACGACTCAAAGCGCATGTCGTTGCCTCTAGTGTAAACGGGCCTTAAGAAGTCTTATGCTCCATTCTCTGTGCGAGACACAAATGAATACACTTGTTGACATGAATCACAAGAGTTTATTCAAAAAGAAAGTCAAAATTTTGATAATTCACTTTTTTATTTAATTTTTAGATATCAATAAGATGAATTCAAATTTAAACTACTGTTAAAACGTTAATTAATGTCATTAATTAAATTTTTACATGTATTGATTCAGGACATTAAATATCATTCTTTACGGTTAAGCGGCTAGGTACTGATGGTTCGGCGGACAAAACTGGACGAGCAAAGAGAGGGCGACATGAAAAGTTCGCTTTGGAAGTGAGCGAGCCGCTGGCTTTTCACTACTTCCATTGGCCAGACCGTGTCACCGCTCAAGCTACTGTTTGATGCATGCGGTACAAACCGTTTTTATATTTAACAATGTGACTAACCAAGTTCGTCTACCTCTTGATCATGGCTCTATTTGTTTTTTTAAGTAGGCTGGATACAATTTTTTTTCTGCATTGCAGCATTACTATTAATTAATACAGCGTCTAAAGACATTTTGTGATTGTTATCCGAGAGAATGTTGTGTAGGTGTAAAATAACTATATTTCTAGAGTTTGAATGAGTTCCAATATTATTTGCGTTAGTTATCGATTTAATACAGAAATGATCTATCCCATATGCCTGAATTCGTAACAACTATGCAGGCGAACATGTACCATACGTATTATTCGAGTTCAGTTTAGATGCAAGTTCATTTACAGCAGTTATCGGCTCAAGAATATAACTTCATGCCTGAATTAACTATAGTCGCTGCGCAGATGTAAAGTTTACATACTTCTCGAGATTTGCATCTATTCATTTGTGGAAGTTACGGTATAATAACCTAATATTGAAACGAATTTACCCACATCACAATTATTACAGCCACTGTAATAATTGAACCGAATATAAACGAAATGTATTTCTTACGTTTGGGGAAGATTAAAGTTCATTTGCTGCTTTAATTGATTAATTGTCAATTCAAAAATAACTGAATGCACATACCGGAAAATTTCGCAGCCAGTGCGCAGGGACAAAATATTTATGCTTCTCAAGATTGATGGAGGATTTGCGACAGCTACCGGTTAATAACCTAGTTTAGAAACGATTAACTCACCTACCTGAAATGATCAAAGCAAATGCGCAGACGTTAAACAATTTTTTTTCAAGATTAGTTGAATCCAGTAAATGAGCTATTTACCTGACATTGCTGACACGGCGGAAACTTCATGGCTCTGTCCTTGTTTTGAAAATTCTTGAATGCAGATACAATCAGTTGTTAGTGCAGTCAAAATTCAATTAACATAAGTTATTGCCGAAATTAACTACTAAAGGAGGAAGAAATAAAACCGCTTGGCAAAACCTATCCATTCACAATTTCAAGTGGATAAGAGCTAGCTAAAGACTGAATTCAAGCTAGGATTCTTTTTAAAAATATGCATGGATTCTAAAATATGAAAATCGGAAATCCTTAAAGAGGAAGCTATGTTCAAGTCAATTTCGAATATTAGGGTGTTATATTCTTCGGCGGGAATGCGCACAGCCAAAGTACCTTGCCTGCTTCTACATAGACCTTGCCTACTTCTGCATAGACCTTGCATGCTTCTACATAGGACGTTTTCAAGGAATTAGTATCCAAAACGACTTATGCAAATCTGCGACTGCATTTTCTGATAGCCTCACTTTATTACCGCGGAGGGCCGTATGATAGCGCTGATTGTTGACACAAATCGTAAAGGCATCGAGTCGTAATTGATACGAATTTTTTCATTGAATGAATTTGCTTTGGTTTTTAAAGCGTTTGAGCATACAGTTAGATGATGTAGATAAAATTTGTTTAGCAAGAAAAGAATTGTCTAGTCAGCTTGCCATAAAATGTGTAGCCTTTCCTAGCCGCAGGCTGTAGACTCAATCATTCACCTTGTCACTAATTGCATTATTGGACGTTTGCCGCAGTAATCACGACACTGGAAAGGTAAGATTGGTTTCTGAATTAACGTACCTAGAACTTTGTCGATCGTAGTGCCTTAAGTTCTACGTTCGTGAGTAGAACCTTGTTGGTGGTAGCGCCTTAAAGTTCTACGTTCGTACGTAGAACTTTGTTGGTCGTAGCGCCTTAAAGTTTTACGTTCGATTAACTTTGTTGGTCGTAGCGCCTTAAAGTTCTACCTTCGTACGTAGAACTTTGTTGGTCGTAGCGCCTTAAAGTTTTACGTTCGCACATTTAACTTTGTTGGTCGTAGCGCCTTAAAGTTCTACGTCCGTATACGTAAAACTTTATTGGTCGACGTGCCTTAAAGTTCTACGTCCGTACGTAGAACTTCGTTGGTCGTAGCGCCTTGATGTTCTACGTTCGTACGTAGAACTTTGTTGATCGCAACGCCCCATGTAGAAATTAACCTTAATCTAGGTACGCATGCTAGTGGTGCTGATGGCATGAGCTTTGAAATAAGTTCAACATACCTGCATCAACGGCGGGTAAAGTTTAAATTAATTCCACGGAACTATTGGACGTTAAACTTAGTAACTTTATGTAGAATGATGTCTTTCGAACGTTGATCATTTTTAGGCTTATGAAGAACTTGGTTCTGTAGCTATGTTCAAAGGAAGAAAAGTTAAAAAAAATTGTTGAGAACTTTAATCGTCTCGTGCTATTGGCTTGTATTTAAAATTCAAAATATAAGCATGCGAGTCACGTTAACTGAAGATCATTTTACCGAAGTGATTTTAACTCTACAAATTAAAAACTTGAGGCTTGTTCTTCAGACGCTATTTACCAGTTCATTCCTGAACTCATCACGCACCCCAGATGGTTTTCGGGCGGCTTTTCATCGGCCACCTTAGACCCTCCCGTGATTTGCAGTGCTGAGGCAAACATGTCAAACTTTTGTTAATACTAAAATACCTCTAATTATTTTGACGTGCGGACTAACTACCATCTAAATCGTGATGAATATCGCTCACTTCCTGATCGGGCCCCACACGCAACAAAGAATTGTTTTTTAAACGTAGCTCTGTAATAAGTGCGATATATATTAGATATATAGTCTATTAGTCATGTACTGGCGCGCCCTGAGGAGGGAGCTGCGCTTATGACGTTAGTTTGTTTTTCCTAAGTTCACATTTATCGGTTATTGTTGTTGGGGATTAGGAAATATAATTATAAATGAAATGATGAACACGTTATTTAGGTTGAATATGTATGTTCTCGACATCACCGCCATCATAAATCAGGAAAATGTTGACATGTAC